CAGCGGGATCAAGGGGTGATGGAGGGCGACGGTGCTGGAGAAACAGCGAAGGGCTGGCAGAGGGGGCTGGGGCAGCTGCAGCCCACCCCGAGGCACAAGAACGCACAGCTCCTGCTAGGGAAGGGGGTACAGGCCCTGGGAGGAGGCAGAGGGACTAAAAGCTCCGAGGAGGGAGATGTTTTTACCCGGGCAGCTCGGTGCTGGCAGCAGAGCAGCTCATATAGGAGTTCAGGGATTGCTACAACTAATAATACAATACTATGATAAAACCTGACCCAGTAACATAAGCTACAACAAAGAAACATACATATAGCTGCTAATAAACCCACCTGCATCTTAACCAGGCTCCTAATGCAAAGAACTACAGATCAGAGCTGCTTCTAGCTCCCAGTCTTGTAGCACTCGTAATGAGGGAGCAGGGATGTATTTATCAGGGAACCTTTTAGTTGGAGCCAAGCAACAGCTGGGACACCCAGGTGAGCAGTGGGTGCAAAGCAAGGCAGGAAATGAAGCAGCAGCTTCAAATAGGGGTGTGCGAGCAGGCAGCAGAAAGTGGGGTGGGAAAGGGGGTGTGGGTACGAGGGCCTTGAAAAGGCAGGCTGTTGAACAGCTTAAAGCTAGGGATTAGAAGATGAGGACATAGGGAGTACTGAATAACTTCTATAGGGTGATCTTAATAGTCCAGTATAGCTAGAAGAGCTCTGGTTGAAGAAGGCAGCTGAAGCATGGAGGGCTTTATAGAGCTGGCAGTGAGAGTCCTGCTTCTGTTCTGACCTTGCAGTACAGAAGCCCTGCGTGGAAAGGAATAAATGGTTCCTCTGGGGAGCTGAGAGCACTGGGGCACACAAGTCTTGGGAAATAGCCTAAATTTTACTTCACAGTAGGCAAATACTATGGCTTTTCAGCAGATTTATTGTTGTCATAGGAACTCAGAGGCAGGGAGGTGCTGAGGTCGGTTGGTGTGAGTGATGCTGTTTAAACTGCCAGATCTTGCCCTCCCAGCTAGCAGGAACGTGTTGTTCTCGGTCAGCTAAATCTGCATCCTGACCAGTGCTGGAGTACAGCAGCCTGGGTGGAAGGGAGAGATTCAGCTCTCAGTCCTCTCACGTTAACTCCTTGCTCCTCCGCAGGCTGGCTATTTATTAATAGCCTGGCATGGCTGCGGGTGGGTTGGGCTTCACGGAGGAGCGCAGGGAGAGTGACAAAGCACCTGTCACTGGAAGGGGATGTTATATCAGAGTAGGTGGCTCTGCTGGAGCCCCGGGAAGATCCAGCCAGGAAACCCACCTGCTCGTCTGCCAGCAAGGCACAGGAAAGGGAACAGCCAGGCGTGGGCAGGGCGAGCCTGTCTCTCCCAAAGACCCATCTCCCTGCTTTCCCTCTGCCTCCTGCAGCCGGTAAAAGACTTTCCCAGAGCTGCTTCTCTCGGGCCGCCGTGCTGCGCAGCTCTGCCTCATCGCCCTAAGGCCAGGCTGACGGTTCCCCACCGGAGCTGCCGGCTGCGTTTCGGGTGGCTCCCCTTAAGGGCTCTCCCTCCGCCCGGGCTGGGTGCCGGGAGACGCCGGGAGCCGTCCCGGCTTGTG